CCCCCCCCCTTTTTTGTTAGGGTTTTGGCTCCCCTGTGGGGGGGAAACCCCCCCCCGGGGACCCCCCCCTCCTCCTTTTTACCCCCCGGTGCCATCCCCTCACCCCGCAGCTTCCTTCCCCCCCCCCCCCCTCGACGCGGGAGCCCGTTGTTTTTCCCTTTTGGGGGCTTTTTTTCTTCGTACGCCCGCCCCGTGGGTGGATTTCTCGGGCTGGGGGGGGCCCCCCCCCCCCCCCCTTCCGTCCCGGAGCGAGCAAGGTCGGCCTTCCGGCCTTCAATGGTGTCCATCCTCCTTGCCCCCCCCCCCCCCCACACACACACACACACGAAGCCGACTGGGCACACGGCACTGGCGCGCACTGGCACTAACACAGGTACACCACGGTCGAAAAAGAATTTCCGAAAAAACACAGAAAGTCAATCCATGGTCGCTGTTTAGCTACAACAAAACTCCCTCGCACGACACTGGGCACGGGACTGGCGCGCACTGACACTAACACAACACAGGTGAACAACGGGAGCCGCCTAAGCGACTCCCGCGAGGGCGGCGAGGCACTTAGCTCCGTGCACTCGCCCGCCCCCGCCACTGGCAAGCTCATTCACAATCTGCTCTGCGATTGCCGTGTGAAGAACGACCGAGATACGCTGCTTCTGCAGCCCCAGCCAATTCTTGGTGCTAGAGGGCATAGAGCGTCGTGCGACCGGGCCGAAATCGGCCGCTCAGCCTCGCACAAGGCTTGGCGTTTTTCAGCTGGAGAGAGGCTTTCAGATCTATCACAGTGTTTTTTCGAACATACCCGAAGCTGGACCCTGCTGACAGGTTTGGCATAACAATTCTTTTTTTGAAACAGTTCTTCAGATCTCTCAGCTAGGTGAGTTTTTCTGCGACACCTGCCTGGACAACTACTTTGGGGCTGGCTTCGGCGACTACTCGATGCTGCGGAAGGGGCATGCGCCGTCTGCGAAATCACCCCTGGATAGGTCGCTCGCGCGACCTATCCTGGATGCGCAAGGGGCCCATAGGGGTCACGCGGAGGGAGGCGCTGTTAGCGGCGGAGGAGGCGAAGGCGGCCGCGCGGGCGGCGGAGAAGGCGGCGCGGGCAGCGGAGGGGGGGAAGGGCGGCGGCAGCGGGCGGCAGTCCCGCGAGGCACGCCGGCGGAAGGGCTCGTCTTCGCGGGGCGGGGTGCGCACTGCGCGCCGCGAGGATGAGGAGCCTGAGCCAGGGGAGGGTTGGGAAGGGGGGGCGAGGCCGGAGGAGTATGACGGCCTCTTCGACGGCCCATAAGGGGCCGTTGTCTGCTGTGCCTTTTGTGGTGCTAGTCCGTGCCAGTCTGCTGTGAGAGGGGCTTGTATTCGTAGAATTCTTTTGTGGGGTGTGTTGCGATACATGTCACATGTACATGTAGAGGCCGCCCCGACCGACGCGGAGTCAGAGCTGACCCGGCGCTTTTTGTGAACGGCGCCTCAAAAAAGAATTCATCACCGACATTCAACGCGGAAACGACACCCAACCGCCTCCTGGCCGGAAGGAGCACGCCGAGTCGAAGCGCTGACAGCATAACACAATCACATATGCTCGCCGCAGCCGCCGCCAGTGCGTCCGCCGTCTGTGCCGCCGCCGTCCCCTCTATCAGCGGTCCGAGTGGGCTCGGCCCGGCGCCCGCGTCGTTTGATCTCGTCAGTCGAGTCTACGTTCCGTACGGCCTGAGCGCCACCGACCTGGCGTTCGGGATGGGCGCTGCGGAGCAGATCATTTACGACGCGACGGAGCGGTACGCGTATGCGGTATCCGAGCAAGGCGTGCTCAATGTCGTCGACTACGCCGACGCCGCGGCGCCGGTGGTCGTCACCTCTCTTGCCGTGGACCTGCGCGGCGCGGTGGCGACGGACGTGGAGATATGCCCCGAGCGCGGGCTGCTCCTCGTGTCCGTCTCGGGCGAGGTGCTCAACATCAGGACGGCGCGGGTCGGCCGCCGCACCGACGCCGGCCGCGTCCTCGCCTTTGAGAGCGTACGCCGCTCGGCGCCGCGCACGCCAAAGCCGCTGTGGCAGGTGCAGGTGGGCGCGTTGCCAGACATGATCTCGCCGAACCGCGACTGCTCGCTCCTCGCGGTTGCAAACGAGGGCGAGGGCGTGTACGGCGGCGTCCATAGCTCCACCGGGACAGGCGGCGTCGCGACGGGCGCCGGCCTCGTGATGTCCCGACGGCGCCAACCCGAGGTTCCCCGAGACACGGCCGAGATCACACGAGATTAGGCGGCGGCCTCGTCGACCCCGACGGCTCCGTCTCTCTGATCCACCTGCCAAAGCAAGGGCCGCCCTCCGTGTCAGAGGTGCGGCGGGTGGCGGGCGGCGAACGCCGAACTAGTCCCCCCCCCCCCCCCCCCCTTCAAACTGACGAATTGTGGATCCGAGGTGCGGGTCGACGCTCTCGCGCCGAGCGACGAGCACCCTAATTAGCTCACTATTCATCAATCCCAGGTGCGGCTCGCGGCGGCTCTGCGCTCGTCGCCCGCCCCAATTCATTACTGCTACCATCCCCAGGTGCGGCTCGACGCTCTCGCGCCGAGCGACGAGCACCTAATCGGCCTCGGAGTGCACCTGCCCCTCCCCCTCGGCGCGATGGAGCACTTCGACCTCCACTCGGCCCGCCACAACAGACACGGTGGGACGCTCGACCTCGGCTCCGCGCGGCGCGCGTACCGGCCCGTCTCTCAGCTCGAGCCAGAGTACGTCGCCTGGTCCGCCGACGGCTCGAAGGTCTTCGTCAACCTGCAGGAGAATGCCGCCATCGTGACGGTCGACGTTGCGACCGCCACCGCCGAGCGCATCTCGCCGCTGGGCTTGACGGACTGGTCTGCGGCAGGAGGCACGGACGGCATCGACATCGTCGACGACGGCGCCTGCAGGCTGCAGCACTACGAGGGCCTGTTCTCGATCAACTCGGCAGACACGATCGGCAGCTTTGAGGTGGACGGCGAGGTGTATGTGATGGCGGCCATGGAAGGGGACCGCGTCCGGTACGGCGACTTCAAGGAGGACCAAAAGCTGCGGAGCGTCGTGGCCTCCAACGCCTCCTTCGGCAAGAACTTTGCGGCCTTCCGCGCGCCCGACGGCGCGCTGCAGCAGGTTTGTCGGGAGGGAGGGGCAGGCTGCTCACCCACGTGCACCGGGCCAGTGCTTGCACTTTGAATGCCGTGGGGCTCCTGCCCGTGTCCGGGCGTGGAGATGCGAGGGTCGCCCCCCCTTGCCCCACCACTTTGTGTGTGTGGAGAAATCTACCTTACCTTACCTTAGGTCTTCGACACCTTCGGAGAGAGCAAGCTGCGTGTCTCGATCGGCAGCTCCGGCGTCGACTACTCGGACCCGACCTCGCCGCGCCTCGAGCGGGTGGTCGCCTTCTCACTCCTCTCGGCTCCCTCTCTCACTCCTATATCTCGGCTCCACTCTCGGCTCCACTCTCGGCTCCCTCTCGGCTCCCTCTCGGCTCCCTCTCGGCTCCCTCTCGGCTCCCTCTCGGCCACCTCTCGGTTCCCTCTCGGCAACCTCTCGGCTCCCTCTCGGCTCCACTCGGCTCCCTCTCGGCTCCACTCATCGCATCGGCCCCAGGTGGTCGCCTTCGGCGCCCGCGGCGTGTCAATCTACTCCGCGCGAGACATGGCGCTCGTGTGGAGCTCCGGGTCGCTCCTCGAGCGCGAGGGGTGCGCCGCCTTCCCGTGGGCGCACAACGGCGAGCAAGACGAGGAGTACGCGGCGGTGCACGGCGTGCTGTACAACGCCACCTCCGACGAGGGCCTCAAGGAGGACATCGAGGACAAGAGCAACCCCAAGAAGGAGGGCTGCGATGACGGCGGCGACGGGAGGCCGGGCGCGTGTCCGCTCGGCGAGACGGTGGACCGCCGCTCGACCAAGGACGGCGCCTCGGCGGAGGCGCTCGCGTTGGGCGTGGCGTGCGGCCGGATGATCGCAGTCACGGCGACGGAGAAGGGCGGCATCGCGTTTGTCTTTGACGTCTCCGACCCGGGCTCGCCCGTGCTGCTCTTCACGCATCACCTCTCGCCGGCCCGCTCCCTCCCTCGCCGCTTCCCTCTTCGCCCCCTCCTCTTATGCCGCCTTCTCTCTCCCCATCCCCGCTGTCGGCGCCCCATCCTTCGCCTTCTTTTGTCGTTCCGATGCCTGCCTAGGTGCTTAATTGCCCAGAGCCTGTTAGGTAGCCACGTCCTCAGGTAATGTCCCATAATCGTCAGCCGCCCCCTGCCACCCGCAGGCGTTCGGACACGCCAACCCGACCGTGGCGTACGCCTATGGCTACCTCGGCGACATCGACTCGGAGACCATCCTTTTCCTCGACGCGTCGCACTCGCCGACGGGCGCCGCCGCGGTCATGTTTGCGGGCGCGTGGTCGGGAACCATCTCCCTGTACGACCTCCGCATGGCAGACGGCTCCCGCTGCACGTCGCTCGTCGGGCCGACGGCGCAGGGCGACGCGCGCGGCGACGGATCGCTCGGCGCGGTTGGCAAGCCCAGTCCGCATCCCTCGCCGACCGCGGCGCCAGTGCCGGCGCCCCCGGTGGTGGCAGCGCCGCCGACAAGCTCGCCTGGCATAGAAGCGCCGTTTGCCTTTGGCGCCGCTGCAGTCGTCCTTCTGGTCTGTGCCGCGTACGGTTGCGGCACTTTCCTCGGGCTCGGGTGCCTGCCCCAGAGTCGGGCGTGGACGAGGATGGAGGAGCCCGTCCGCCCAGAGATTCTCCAGCCCGCCAAGTGAGCGCGAACTTCCGGGCGGCACAACCGACGCCCCAATGGCAGCAATGATCTCAGTAGCACGTACAGTACCGGGGACTGACGTATCGAAAGGGTGTTCCTGTCATCCTGTGTAGAGTGTAGTTCGCGGCACTTGATTGAGATACAGTACGCGGCACGCACTCACGCGGCATGCCACGCGCGGCTTCTCTGGACTCTCTGGGGTCTCTCTGCACACCGCTGCGGCGCTGGTCTCAGGTCTGTCTCTGTGGTCAGACCTCGCCTGTAAGCTGTATCGTACTGCTGCTCGCACACCGCACACGACAGTCGGACGACACACGACCACGGCCGTTGCGCGTTGCCGTTGGCCCACGCACAGTGCGCTTTGCCAAACTGCCTCGCTGGAGGGCCAGAGGCTCTGCAAACTGCACATACTTTGCACGAGCCCGAGATTGGAGATATGCCGAGGAGCGCGATCTCGGGCCGCGCCGCGCAATCTCGGGCGATCTCGCGCTATCTCGGTCGATATCGGCGCTGCGCCGAGCTATCTCGGGCGCCGATGCAGGGCTCCCCGATCAGTTCCCCGTGAATGGAGGCGTCGGCCAACTCCGTTCGGTCGCCCACCTCCTCAGCGCTCCTGCGCGAGCCGTTGCTCAAGTCCTCCGGAAGCAAGGTGACCTTGAGGATCGCCTCCTCCTCCTCGCAGTCCAAGCTGCCCAAGATCGACGACGAGGAACGCGCAGCAGCAAAGTCGTTCGTCCAGCAGCTGCGGCAGCTGCCGAATGAGGTGTACGTGGTCCTTCTTGTGGATTTCTTGAACTCGTACAGGTCCTTCGGGTTTCGCGCCGTGCAGTACCAGTACCTCACTAACGAGTTTGGCCTCTCGGATCTCGAGGCGGGCTCGCTACTTGGCATGCAGGCATGGCTGCTCGTCGTCTTTGGCATCCTTGGCGCGATGCTCGTCGACGCCTTTGGTGTGCGCGCGACGGCGCTGAGCGCGCTGAGCGTGTCCGTCGTCTCGCGTGGCTTGCTCGCGTTTGGCCGCTCGAGGGAGACCATGACCTTCGCGCTCCTCGGCCTCTCACCCTTCGGGGAGGCGGTGCTCTCCACCGGCATATACACGGTCGCCCTCAAGAAACTCACGACCCGTGCCAACCGCGCGTTCGCCTTTGGCATCCAGTACGGCGTGTTCAATCTGTCGGGGGCGCTCGCGGACGTTGCCGCGGACATGCTAGTCCTCAGGCTCAGAGCTGTCCAGAC